ACTTTTTGTTTTAATTTTTGTTTTTGTTTGTTTATTTGAGATTTTTTTAACAATTTTTTTTATTTCTTTTTTTCACTTCATTCCATATTTTCATTTTTGCTAATTTAAATATTATCATATAAATCTGAAATACAATATTATGTACATAATTTTTATATACAGATATTCAAATATATTTTTACTTTACACATACATGTGTATAATGTATAGGAGAAAAATTGTATTTATATGTAAACGAATCCTGTTTACAAAATATACAATGTATGTTTATATTTTTTTTTGTGTTTATTACGTAAATTTTAATTATTTTGTTATGATGAGAACGAAAAAAAAAAAATAAATTTGGAAATATAAAACATTTGATTTATTTTTCAAAAACAAAAAAAAAATATATAAAATCAAATAAAATGTACAACAAATTGAAAACAAAGTCAACTATGAAAAACATCATTGATAAGAAAAACAAAACAAACATAAAACATAGCGAAATATAAGAAAGAAAGAAAGAAACAAATAAACAAACAAAGAGAAAAAAAAACGTTAATTACGCCATGTTTAATTGATATTACATTCAAATTTACAACAAGATTGGAAACGGTATTAATTATAACGATAATAAACAATAACAATAATAATAAAAAAAATGAAAATATAAAAATATAACATTTATAAAAAAATAATCTATAAAAATATAAAATTTATAAAAATATCAATATACGCTATTATATTTTATTTTTAATTAAATTTAAATATTATATTTAATTTATTTATTTTATTTTTATTTATTTATTTTTATGCGAACTATATAATATAAATGTTTCAATTTTTGTAATATGTTATATTTTGAATTATTTACAATATTGAAGTAGTACAGGTACATGCCACTATACAAATATAACATACAAGGTGTTAGCAACAATTATCCAGAATCTCCTAAGAAAAAAATTAGAAAACACAATAGGAACAGACTGGCTTCCGCCTGTCTCGAAGTAGTGTCGATTGAGCGAACACGCTTCGAATAATAGTCGAACAATCAGAAGAGTACAGAACACCACCATTAAAACACTGGGAAACTCCATACAAAATAATCATAGTAGACAACATAATACAAGTCTGTTCACAGAAAAGGAGTATAATATGATATCTTCCTTACCTTAAAGATCAGACAGAAATACGCGAATGACATCCGCCTTCTCTATCAAAATACAAGTGACATGCATAACAAATTAAAATACCTCGAAAGACTTAATAGCGAACAAGTAGAATTGCTCAGCAGCTACTACTACTTGGGCAGCATCACAGCACATGATGTCAGGCCCTAGGTAGTTGTGGACAACAACCTGAAGAAAACAAAGCCATCGCTTAGTAGACTATAGCCGATATAGAGAAGCAGCCAGATATTTAAAGCGACTAAGAATATTCCGTTCCTATGTAAAATCGATTCTGTTGTACCGCAGTGAAACCTGTATAAGATAAAAATCTGGCAAACCAGAAGTTGCAAGTATTTATCAATAGATGTCGAATCTGTTAAATTTGATTCTGTATGATAAAAACTCTGTTTTCGGCTGTTTTCATTTAGTAAGGACACATGTAAGAACACAAAAAAAAACTACTTTTTGGCATTTGAATTTGATTCGCTAAATTATTGACATGATTGTTTTATGCCGAAATATTTTTACACTGTATAGAAATTTCACTTGTTGAGTATTAATGCCAATTATTTTTAAATATTTTTACTCCTTTTCGGGTTCAGTTGTTTTGCAAAATATACTTATATATATATATTATATGTGCTATATATTGTACTTTAGCGACAGCAATTTTAAGCGAAATACACCAGAAGTTTTATAACTCCTTGCAATAAATTATACGCTACATAGCTAGACGACCCTGTACACATTGCATGTAATATAAAATTTCTACATTTTTATTTTAAAAAATATCACGATAAAATAACCTTTGAATTGTTATCAAATAAATCAATAATTTATTCAATAAAAACATTTTTTGCCGAATTTTAACAATTTTTAAAATTACATAAAATCTAAATTTATATGCATATTTTCATTACAACTTATTTTATTATTTATCTAATATAAAAAATAATTAATTTCCCTGTGTATAAAGTTCGTATAACTTTTCATATACATTGTATGTAAAAATGACCGCAATATAATAATTTTTAATTATTTTTAAAAAAATTGTTGTTGAAAAATTTTCAATTAATTTCCATAAAATATATTACAATTTATTTTGTATTAAAATTTTAAATTATTTAAAAATTTTTAAATACAAAACAATTCCTCTTTAAAGTGAAACTTAAAACCTCAACAGCAAATATACGATGAACACTCGAGCATTCAATAGTTTTTGAATTGAAGTCCATTGAATTCTTTAAAAAAAAATTGTTAATTGTAAACTAGTTAGTCTGCTGGTTTTTAAATTTTATCGAAACTTAAAAATTTTCTTCAAATTTCTTTTCTATTCAGTGAATAATTTTTAATAGCAAAATTACTCATTTATTATAATTATAGCTTTTTCAATATTGAAAATAGTTTAAAAAAAATTGATTTGTTCATTATTAATTCAGACCATTGCGTATTTAAATAATGTTAATTTAATAACAATAATAAAAATAAATCCATAATATTGAATTGTTGAATCATTAATATAAATATCATATATGCAATGTACGCCTTATAAAAATTTTAACAACAACAAAAAAACAAAACTCGAAATCGTATAAAATCGAATTGGCAAATTTATTGTACAAACATTGAAAATCTTTAATTTCCTCAGAATATTTTAAATCTAAATTTCGAATTGAGATACAACATCGAACACTTGACTTTCGACACAAATGCGCTCGACTTTGTATTTTTGGTCTTAATTCAAATCCATAAAGCCTTTCTCATATTGCAAATTCAATTTCATAGTTAATTTCATTACTATTCTTCGTCAATATTGCAATACACAAAATTTCTAAAATCTTTACCAATTTCCTTGGTCTCGAATTTAAAACAAGCTCTTAGATTTTAAAATTCTAATTATATCAATTCACTTTAAATAATTTAACACTTTATAAAAGGATCATTTTATAAAATTATTTTATTGAATAAAATAAAATTTTAAAAAGAACTTTTCAATTTAATTTCATATTTTATTTAATCACATTACTAAATTATTTTAATAATGATCACCCCATTATAAAATTTATTCAAGTTCATATCACAATAAGTTCATATAAAAAAATAATTGACATATTGATTGGTACACAATCAAACAAATACAAAAAAAGATCAATGAAAAAATGAGAAAATTCGCGTTAAACATTTTCACATTTAAATCCAAGAGTGCCAGCGATAAATAAAAGAAATAAAATTATTGACTATAAATTAATTTCTACATTATTTACGTACACATATATTATTACACATACACATATATATATCAATGTACGTAGTGCATGTACAGATGTATGTTTGCAGCATAAGCATAATTTCATTACATAATATTCTCCTGTGATAAATTTATGTTGATAATGTGAACAAATAAAACTCACACTTAACCAAAAATTGGGGGAAAAAATGTAATAATAAAATAAAAATAATCATATAAAAATTCACAAAAAAAAAAATAAAAGTAATCAAAAATTAATATTAAAATATACTGTTATACTACATACACATATATTGTATATAAAAGGATAATAAAAAACAGAAGTTGCCTTTTAATACTCTGACATCTTATTTACTTATTAAAATACAATGAGAAGTAAAAATAAAAAACAAGAAAAAATTTATTTTATAAGAAAGAAATTGTATATGAAGAAAGCAGTTTTAACAGAAATATTTACTTAGGATTATTATTATGATATCCTTATGAATTTGTCATACATAAAATAAATACCCAACAAACAAAATTAACGAATGCTTTATATCTATTATAATTTTTTGATAAACTAGAGAATAATATTGTATGGGAGCAATATCACATTTATATAAACGAATAATTTCAGCGGTTAGTGAGTTACTACAGTCTCCTAAAAGAATGGGCCTAAACATTCGAGATGTATAAGACTTCTACCTATAAAACTTCCGCCTATGTAGGCTTACGAGAATGTTTATACAAAATAGGAGTTTCATGTCCAAACTTTTCTTCTAAATATTTGGATTTTAATTTTAAAACATTCTTAGAATGTAAGACGATATAAAGTTTTCTTTGTCAGTAAAATGTCACACGTTTACGCTTACTAGTATACTAATACAAATTTAACTTAAAATTAAATTGCATAGACAGTTTATTTCGGTGTACTAGAGTTAATTCTAAAAATTTTGTATAAAACGAATATAATGTATACGCATTAGCTATGTAATCTAACAATATATTATTATTTTCGTTTTATTCTGATAATAAGTACATATATGTATGTATATGTTTGTACATTTTAAGTAATGCCATCTGGTGAGAAAATTATGAGATAACCATAAAAAAATATAATAATAATACAAAGAAAATAATCTAATTACCCCGGCTCCAAAAATAAAAACATAGAAAAGCAACAAACAAAAGGTTTGTAAGAACAATACAGGAGCAATAATAAGTCTTTTCATTGTTTGAAAAAGAATTCTATTTAGGTACATCATCTATGTTGGGTCTATTATCATAATAAAATTTCCCCCATCATAGAGTAAAAAAAAAGTGAAATATTTCGTCTTTTGTTTTTTCTTTATAACACATTAAATTTTTTGCTGTTTCTTACCTATATACAAGTACTAAACGCATTAAAAACGTTAATTTTAATTTGGAACAATAAATTTCAATAATAATTTAATTCATAATGAAGCACTTTTATAATATACAAGTGTGTATGTAGATATGTATATATTACATACTGTTATATTATTTAAAATTACAATTTGCTTTATTTCGTTTCTTCATCTTTTTTATTATATGAATTGACAAAATTTAAGAAAATAACAAAACATTAAATCGCAGAATTGAAAAATTTTAAAAAGAAAAAATATAATAAATGTCATACAACTTTCAAGCCACGAGCAACATTTTGGTAATCATACATATTGTACATGTCATGTATAACATGTATGTATGTATATTCACATGTATATAATTATTTACTTTTTTCAATAACCAAATCTTGTAACATTTCAGCTCCAACAAAATTCGCTTCTTTATAATATGGTAATTTTGTTAATTTATCAAACCAAGCATGTAATTTTGGAAATTTTTCTACATCAATTGGTACTGTTCTACTAACTGATGAAACAGATGCTAATAAACATAAATCTGCAATTGTTAAATTCTCACCAGTAATATATGTATTAGCTTTTAAATAATTTTCCAATGGTTCATAAGCTTTTTGAATATAATCAATTTTATCTTGTGGAAAACCTTTTTGTCCAAAATATATTATTGGTTCATATAAGAAACGAATTCTTGAAAATACATTTGATGCATCAAAATATAATAAAGTATCGACTAGACGTCGTTTTTCTTCATCTTTTGGATAAAGTTTATCATCTTTACCATATTTTTCAACTAAATATGCACTTATAACATGACTATCAATAATAATAGTACCATTATCTTCCAAGCATGGTATTGTATGTTGTGGATTCTTTTGTAAAAATTCCGGTGTGAAATGTTCACGTTGTATAAGATTCATGGCCCTAAAAAAAAGAAGGAAAAGTTAATTATAATATAGAAAATACAGAAAAATTTTTGACATTATAGAAAAACAAAATTAAATATTTACTTTAAATCCAATTCTAAACCAAGTTCAGCAGCAACAAGTAATACGGAACGACATGGTGGACTACGTTGAGAATAATAAAGAATTGGTTTATTGGCCATTTGAAAATCTGCAATAATATAAATACAATATTAGTATATTATATAAATGTAAATTGACAAATGTCATAATTTGGGTTTACTTTTTACTCACAAACATACATATTTATTGCCAGCTTTAAAATTTAAAGTCTTATCGCTATATCTTTGTATTAAACGTGTTTATTTTGTTAATTGGTAAGTAATTGATGATTTTTTAAGGTTTGGTTTTCGAATTTAATACAGAACATAGAAAAATTAAAAATTTAATTTTTATTTGTACTTAAATTCATAAATCAATCGGTGCAATTTGCTTTTTAAATTAATTTCTCCCTGAAAACATTATTAATAAATATTTTGTCAAAAGTTAATAAATCAGAAACGTTAATCGAACAACACTCCGTGTGGTGTGAAGACGAACTAAATTGAATCGAATAATCGATAGGATGTTGAAACCTCTTTAGAAACACGAGTAATGTGTCAAAAATAAAAACACAATAAAAATCAAATAGAAAAAAAATCACCCGTTGTTATGAGAGTCAAAATATTATAATTCACATACAAAATTTCGATTAATCAAATTATTAAATTGCACTATTTAATGAGTGCAATATAATAAATTATATATGAATATGTATATATAAGTATATATAAAACAATTTGTACTGAAATGATTGCATAAAATCCATAAAATTTATTTTAAATTTTCGCCGGTTTTAATTATAAATTTCTACATATATACATACATATGTATGTACATGCTTCTTTCCACTTCCAATTTAAAAGAATAATTTTTTGGTTTATTTGCAAAACTTGAATTCTGTATTAATTATTAGAAAATAAAATTTTTTTAATGTACATACATACATATACGATATATACGTTATATACACATTTTTAAGTACATATATACAATTATGTATATTTATTAATAAGTCGTTCGCCCAAAATTTGTTCCATTTATATCAACACACGAACATATTATGCATATGCACATTATAACAAAATAATATTATTAATAAACTAAATAAATAAATAAATTATCTATTTGGAATAATTTTTCATTTTAATTTAATGAGATAATTTATTAAAAAATAAATTATTCAAATTTAATATTATTTAAATTATGTACATAAATATAATCCAAATTGTCATGTAAATTTTGTATTAAATTCTATAATTTATTTAAAAAAAAAATATTTACCTTCAATTTTACTTGCTGCTTTAATGTTTGCTGCTTTAACGAAACTACCGATATGAAGAGAGAATTCAATCTTATATATTAAAAATTTGAAAGTAGAATCACAACAAAATTGGTATTTACTTTTAATTTTAATTGCAGTAGATGAATAAATACAAAATAAATTTTTGCTTGCATGCATGTATTTATTTTGCTTCAATAATGAATAGAGCCTGTTTCGTCGTTTATTGAAAATATTACTAAAGTTTTAATAAAATTAAATTTTAATCTTATATTAAACATTTAGTACTTTAATTCAAAATCTTATACATTTTTAAAAACGTCTAACTACCATGTTACAAATTAATTCTCTCATTTGTACTATCATTTTATTCAACACAATGGCAATACTAAAATATATTTATGATCATTTTGAAAGTTCAGTCAGTATGAGAGAAAGTTCAAAAATATCAAACAAACATAATAATACTCGTATGTACATTATTTTATTCTCCAAATCTCCACTACATGCTACAAATACAAAAAAATGAACCGGTATCATATAATTTACGCTCATTTTTTGTTGAAATACAAGTGGCATTTATAAATAATTTATAAATATATACATATATATACATATTATGTATTTTTATATATCAATGAAGATTTTATACTGCTTAATTTAAATGATCATTATACCTTTGTACATACATATGTACATACATTATGATTTCATTTTATCAATTTCTCTTCTAATTAATATTTTCAATTTAAAAAAAATTTTTGATATTTTAAAAGGCTAGACACGGGCTATCAATGTTAAATTTTAAAAATAGGTACAATTACACTTTTAATTTCAAACAATTATCACGAAATTTTATTTTCAAAATTGGCGTGAAACTAAAAATTAATGTATGTAGAAAGATTTTACTAAAAAAGTTTGTAAAGGTAGCAAATAGACAAACCTTCTCCTTCAATTCTGCTCCATAATTCTTACATATGGATGTGTGAAGGTGTCTCTTTCAAAAATCAATTCTATTTAATGCATCCTGCGTAACGGAATCACTGCATTTACGTAAAAATAGCATACTTCCGAATTCCGTTATAACTACTACAACATTTTCATTTCAAAATACACATGTATGTAGCTACTTATTCACTACATTCTATCATACTCTCGTTGCCTCTTTTAATTTATAAGTCCAAACACTATTGGTATAAACCAGTTTAATATATAATTTGATCACAAGACAAACCATTTTTATCGGCTATAAAAAGCTTATCAGTATTGAAGAGAGTTTTGAAAAAAAGTTATTACTTTCTTATACAGTTAAATATCTTTCTCTCATTTTTTAAAAACGCAAGAGCAATGAAATTATTAATTACAAAATATGCCGGTCACGCGTTTCTAATGAAATTCCAATGAACTATTCCAAAAAGAAAATGCTATTGAAAATAAGAATAAACAACAAAAATTTTATTTTAGATCATTTTTAATAATTTTTTTAAATTTAACACCAATACTATAGATTTGGAGAAAGGCTAGAATGGTTTATGTACTCTTCCTGGTTTCATTAGCAAGTGATCTGTTAATGTTAATGTTAAGTGATGCTCAAAATGTTATCTAGTGAGAGACATAATAACGTAAGTATATGTGTCAATGTCAATTATATTGTCATTTAGTACTAAAGTATTAGTAATATGAAGCCGCTTGGTGATGACGGGTTATTTTTGTTTACCTAATTCGATTGAAATATTTAGTTCCATAGACAAGTAATGATTACCGCTTATTTTTAGCTTATAATCTTGTCAAATATTATGCGACAGCGCTCAATTTAAGATTGTAATCTTAACATTTTAAAACTACATTAAATTTTAAAATAATTTCGTATACTCGTACCTACAACAATTGTTGCAAAAAAAATTCAGTAATATTTCAAAAGAAAATTTTATAAAAACGTAAAATATTAAAAATCAAATAAATCATTAATAGTAATTTTATAAATAAATTACCAAAAATAATTCATTGCAGATTCTTCTATTATAATATTAGAGTGTGTTTTTCCCCCATTTGTTTTCTTCCTTTTGTTTGAAACAAAAAACCATAGTAAGTTGGTATACGTAGTAATAATGAAGGTTATTTTTCAAAATTAGTTAAAATGAGCATTAAGTTACTTGCTATTTAGAAAATAATAGCCATTACAATGAATGGTACAGAGAAAGCAAGGATATTTTTCTTTTATGAACACATACACGATTTAACATTGCCACAAACATTTATAATAAATAATAACATATATTATGTACCTACATGTATACGCGAATATATGTTATGAGTATTTACATACTATTTCCTTACTATTTTTTAATATAAAATATTTGTAACACTTATTTAGCGAACCATATTTGGCTCTCTGATTTTTTCTTTCTTCGGATGATCATTTGAGCTTCGGATGGGCAGACATCGCAACTGAATCTCATGTACATACTTCAATAAGTTGTGTTTATATTGTAGTGCATAATAATTTTATTCCCCAAAGATTTATTAGAAAAGGGAGAAATTTAAAATAAGACACGTCCTTACAAATTAAAGGTATTTTTAGAGAAGCAAAGATTATTCTTTGAAAGCAAAGACTATTCTAACTTTTTATAGTACTAAGTTTCTAAATTGAATACAAAAGCATTACACTTATATACATACATACAGTGGCGGATCTACCATATATTCAAAGTAAACATTTGCAATGGGCGTCGGTAAACAGGGGCGCCATTGAAACTTAAAAGAAATGAAATAAAAATTATTTTTCTAAATTTTTTGCATTACGTGTTTTCAAAAAACTTTTTTTCGTTCTATTTACAGTAGATCGCGTAGGATGCCGAAAAAGTCAGAACTACACCTTCATACATACATATATACAGTTTATCTCTGTCTATTGTTTAAAGATTCATTTAAATTGTCTTGAATTGAATATTTAAAATCAACTTTGCGAAATGCAATTTGGCCCTCAGTTTAAAATAGTTTCGTAAAATTTGCTATTTGTACTCATTCTATTATATTATATAATTTACTGTACATATACTGTTATATTTTAAACAATAACCCCAAACATAGTGATATCGTAATATAAAAGAACATCTTAAAAGATGAAAAACTGTAGATACATTAACCATTATTATACTGTGATTGTGTTGAAAAAACGATTGACTAAAAGCTGTTAGATGCAATATTTTTTCATGTCAACAATGAATAATTTTTATAACATATCCTGTACCCATATTTATATGTATCAATGCGTACTTACGTACATACCATATAAAATTTTTTATATGAAAAAAAAAATAATATAGAGGATATAAAAATTGTTATATATTTGTTAAGTGAATAAAATAATAGTGAAACAAATTACATAATTAAGATAGAAAATGGACAATTAATTCATTAGATTTGTTTTTAGAATTTTGGTTTTTATTTTTCCTTATATTTGGGTTTCTCATACACATGGAGTAGGGGTAGGAAGTACATACATATATGTAATAGAATAGTTTATGAAAATAAAGATTTTTGTTATAAAGGAAAATATACAAAGGAAAATCATATTAAAATTTTGATATGAAAGAAAAAAATAATTAATATTTTAGTAATACAATATAAAAAATCTTCTAAAATAAATTAAAGATTTTGATAAATTTGAAAGATTTTAAAACATGAAGGGATAAAATTATCGAAAGTTAAATGAGAATGATGGATTCTGAGAAAAAATTAGTATAACAGATTAGATTAATGCGACTCAACTAGAAATACATGCCCTTAATATTGCTTTCTTCACCACCTTCGTGAGCAGGTGGCGCTCAATAGAAAAAATTCATAAACGAATTTGTGAAATTTGATCATACCAATCTCTGAGCATGAATTCTATAAGGACTTATTATAGAATAAAGTCTTTAATGTCTGTGCCATGTTTAAAGTTGGAAAGACGTATTGTTTTTAGATATAAATTATCTAGTCTAAATTTTTCTCGGAATTCCTATTCGAGAACTCCGATTTATAAAAAACAAAATTTCAAACTTTTCACGATTTATTATTAAGTTGCCCAAATGATGTACATTATCTATGTACATTACCTATCATTCGGGCATCTTTCGTACTATTTCGGGCTAATATGCGAAATAACACATTTTTTTAATTTCTTTTGTATACAGGGCATTAGAGGATAACAAACTTCAATGTTCCGTCACAATGTTCATAACATCATAATGTGAAAGGATGAATGGTGTATATTTAATGTGCTTACGCCAACCGTGTACAGTTACGTGTACGTAACGTAAGATAATTTTTACTTTTAAATTCCTTTCAAATTCCAACAATAGTACTGTCCAATAACTTATTTAAGGGTATCGCCTAATTAATTTATAATATAGTTTCCATTTTTCACAAAATATCCAAATACACTTCCCTATAACTTATACATAAAATTTTATACATTACATAAGTACATAATTGCATACTTATACATAACAAATATTTGAGTTTTTTTTTCTCTGTTATGAAAATTGAAAATAAAAATGGCAAAAATTTTCACTTAAAAAATAACGAAACAATATTTAAATTAACATTTGACTTGGAAAACTTGAAACTTTTTTAAATAAATATTTTAATATAATTTAAATAGATAACTATAAAAAAATTTTTTTGAGAAAAAGTTAAAAAAGCTCTGGACTGAAAAATACAAGTATTTTTTGTTAAAAAGTTAATATTAATGAAAATATTTTAAAATAATTTCATAAAAATATGAAAATTGGTAGTAAAAGTTATGAAATTTTTATTTCTATTTCTTATTTTTCTTTTTTTTTTCCAACTTCAGTTAACAAAAAAAAAAGTACTTTGGAAACCTGTAGAATCAACAGACAAATTTTTTTTTGAAAACGACACGTCTCCATCGTAACATCTGTTCATTCGTATATAATCGAATTCGTATAATAATATGCAAACATACACATGCAGATAATAATATATAAACGATTGTATATACATATGTGTATATACAAAGTTCCGTTTATTT